CCCGCCGTATCTCGGCGCCGAGGGGTGAAGGGGGGGAGGAGTGGGAGGGGGAGGTGGGGAACCTAACATTGAAGAGATCTTGGCCGAGGTTGAGAAACACTGATCTACAGTATAACAAATGTCTCCCCAGCCTGTTTTTCTAAATGAATCAGCCTAGGAATAGGCTATGGCTCTTCATGTACAGAGGATATTGTTATCTTTGTTGGCAACACTCAGAATTATTCATTAACATCTCAGATAGTTCAATGAGAGATCCCAGAGTAATAGATGCCTTCAGGCTTTTTTATAGATCTTGGTAGGCTGGGTAGCTGAGGATTTCATTCTGCATTTTATTTGAAAACCGTTGCTTTTTTATCTTCCATATTCTCCAAAATATGAAATGTCAGTATTTAAAACGATGATTCTCTGGAGCTTCCAAGCACACTGAGTTCCGCTTAAATGTTTAGAATAAAGTGGAGAGATGGACTGAAAAGGCACAATTTGCCCTCCTCTGCTTTCCATCAGTAAAGATAACATCTCCTTTGAATCAAGCTTGACTCCAGGTGACTTCATGGATACATTCATGTAATTTGCTTGGGGAAAATATAGAAGTAGTTTGCAACTGTCTTCTTCTGGGACAGCTGTCTTCATCTTTATTCAACTTTCTAGTCTAGCTTACAGCTCTGGAATTTTCCTAGGGATCTCCATTCTAAGTAGGAACCAGTCAGTCCTGTTTACCTTGTTGTGATCAACCAAGGTTGGTTAGAGGGTGCAGAGGACAGATATCTACAAACCACTAAAACGATTAACTTCAAATGAACAAAGACATGAGGTAATGCATATTTACTCAGAAGAATGTTATGCTGATTTCAGTGAGATTCATTCCAGGCGTGCACAAGATTTCTCACTTAGATTTTCTTTTAACAATGAGAAAATCTAAGACATATAAATAACCTTATGATATATCCTGAAAGCTAATCAGGCTGGGTCGTTGTGGGCTTCTTTGGAGGAATTCCAGTTTCCGTCAACTCAGTTGACCACATTTCTTTTAATCAAAATAAGAAGTTCCCCAGTCAGCTACAAAACATTTGTCTGGGAGCAAGCAGTCCTGCTTCAGACAAATCTGCCACGATTTGCAGTTGATGGAGTCAGTGCTCAACCATTTGGACTACTGAAAGGCCTTTTTGGAGAACATGGCAGCATTATAACGAATGCCATCAATCAGCTCATGCAGGCAGTGACTCCATTTATTCCATACTGAGCAGTTAGTTGCTTAGGGACTGGCCACATGATAAGGCATCACAAGGTGAGATGATGCCAACAGTAAACCACTGCAGATATATTGTGCTGATCTTTTCATTGTTTTGCATTCCCAATTGTCTGTCTTTTCTAGATCAGTATATCAAATCCTGGTCTTTGGGGTTTCTACTTTCTGTAGAAATGAGGTGTGTAGGTTCCATGTCACAACCCCTTCTTACTCCTGTTTTTTTTTTTGATGCACTGTAGATTGTGTTTGATGGTGATCCTTATGCCCCTCATAACTCCACTGCTTATCTGACCTATGAAAGGGGCGTAGAGATCGGATGTTGGGGACTGTGCATCAATGCAATTTCTTCTTCCGTTTATTCCTGTGAGTACCACTAACAAACTTGCCCAAATTCCTGAAGATAAGAGATAAATATATAGGGTTAAATAGATATGGCGTTTGAACATTCAATGCATTTCACACTCATTAACTCAGGGATTTTTTGAGGGGCAACTCTTTAGGTAGATCAGTATCTTTTTATCCCAGTTACATGGATAAAGCAAGGCTCTGAATATGCTGGTTTGTTTACCAAGTGCCCTGATGAGAGTGCCCCTAACCCTGCTGACAGTCTCCCACCAGCCAGAATCTGATGCTTTGATGGATTGAGAAAAATAGCTGGATGTCATACCCACCTCCCTTTTCTTTGGCCAGAGAGCTCCCTACCACCACCATGACTGGCTAAGGGGACAAGTTTCCCTGGCTGGACCTGGTTCTCCTGCTGATTGTCTATCCACCATGGTGTAATAGCTGGATTCTCTAGATAAGTCTCTCAGAAAATTACAGCAGCTACTTTTCTGCTGTAGGTAGCATTTGCATTCTCTGTGGCAACCTGGGATTGCACACAGTGAGATACTGATGGGAAGATTATCTGGGCCTAGCTGCCAAAATAATCCAAATCTCTGGAAACGAAGCTCTTCCTTGTCTGCAGCTTGAAGCAGAACTTCCAAAACCTTGGTATAGGAGATCCACGTATGCCTGGAAACATCTTACAGCGGTAGAAAAATCAGTCAGATGTGTCTTTTAAACATTTTAAAGCTGAAACTTGTTCCTTTTTTCCATGCTGTTTTGCAATTTTTTTTGTTAAACAAAAATCCTTCATTTTTGTATATATTTCACCTTATAAATATTTTTGGGGCATGTTTAATGTGTATGCTGCCCAGAGTCGTTCAGCCTAATGTGATTAATAAATAAAAAACAATTACATACTGATGTATGTATACACTCCTAGTTTCAGAAGTGGAATTTCTCTGTGGACCTTCAGAGTTTCTTTAGTATAAATACAAAAAGGAAGGTTGAAACTGACTTATACTAGGGCAAAGGGATGTTCAGTCTAGTCCACTATACTGACTACAGCAAAACTCCAAAACCCCCCAAAACTACATAGAAATCTTTCCCAGAGGTGAAATAAATAATCTGGTTCATTTTGAAATAGGCCAACCTAGTTTGCACAGCCTGAACTAAATAATGAAGTAATCTAAAACAGTGTTTCCCAACCTTGGCCGCTGGCTGTGGAATTCTGGGAGCTGAAGTCCACGCCTCTTAAAATTGCCAAGGCTGAGAAACACTGAACTGAAACATCTTTCAATAAAATGATAAGAAAATTTATTTTCTAAAAAAAAGGAAACTGTTATTAACAAAAAAGGACAGCAACAAAAGCTTTTTATTAATCTTCAACAGAGATGAAAAATGGCTCCCATCTGAACTTCTTTTCCCAATCTTTTCCCTCCACCAGATATGCAAAGAGCGCTTCTACCTTACGTAGGATTAAAAGGACTCTATTTTGTTGGTTACCTACTCTTTGGACTGGGTACTGGATTTATTGGACTCTTTCCCAAGGTTCATCCTACTTTGGCTCTGTGCTCTCTGTTTGGCGTCATGTCCAGCACACTGTACACTGTACCATTCAACCTTGTTGCTAATTATCACAATGAGGAATTGGTGAGTTCAAAGGGAGGGCTGTTGTCTTATCATCGGCTGTGGAATCCTTCATATATCTCATCTTCAAGTGGAGGAAGTGGGGGAGTAACCATGAAGTAAAGGAAGGACTCCAGTCCACATTCTTCCGCACTGCTACTATCTTAGAAACAAGATGGCTGCTCTTGAATCCAGTTTTAGATGTTGTTTAGAGTCCCAGGCCTGGCATCAATGAGGTTGGACTCTTGCCTGGCCTTGACCTGATTAGGAGGGCACCAATGATCCACTCCATTATCTTTGCTTCCACTTTGCACATAGATAGTCTGATCAAACCAAGGTAGAGACGCCTCTTGCAAAACAATGCTACTAAATTGCATTGCAAATGGGGTTGCTTTGGATTTTAAATAATCCATGAAGCAAAATATCAAACTGTTTCTAATTTTCTCCCTACATTTATGTAATACTGTAATGCAGTGTTTCTCCACCTTGACAACTTTACAATGTGTGGACTTCAACTCCCTGCTGAAGCTGGCTGGGGAATTCTGGGAGTTGAAGTCCACACATCTTCAAGTTGCCAAGGTTGAGAAACACTGCTGTAAGGTGTTTTCACCCTGTTATCAACTTCCATGTCATTACTGCGAGATAAGACCCAGAAGGGGATGGAGCGTATCTTCAGATGAGTGCTTTATTTCATTTACATTTCATTAAAATTCTTGAATCAGGCAGCCTGGATCTTCAGGCATTTCGAAAGTGAGTCACGATAACTAGAGAATGCAACATCTTTATAGATTCTGGGGCTGAACATGTTCTCAACCTCTCTGATGTGAGGAGAACAAGCAGCTCATGAGACTGTGAGATTCCTAAGGACACTGATGTGGCTAAAATCATTGAACTCAAATGCAGCTGATTGCTTTTCTGATGACATTGTGTCAAATATTGTTCTGGCCAAGAGTATGTTAACCATAGAGCTTGCAAGGGTGAGCAATCTTTTGAGAGCCAGAGTTTCACTTAATTTTTTAAAATTCTTAATCTTATTCATTAGATTTATATTCTACCTTTTTTTCAGCATCTCAGGAGTATTGTAGCAATCCTTCCTCCTATTTTTTTTTTCTCATAAGAACAACCCTTTGGGTTGAGATGGACTGAGAAGTAGTGCCTGCCCCAAAGTCATCCAGTGAGCTTCCATGTCTTAGGTGAACTTGGCTATTATGCATGTGTTGAACATACAAGCTAGCCATGACCAGAACCAATATTTTGTGCCTGTGTGTGTGTGTGTTTAGGTTTTGGAGGGACAGAGTGGAGAATCTCTCTTTCTCCTTTACACATGCTAAGCCTATTTTAACAAACTCATTACCATTTTAAAATGTCTTGCATCTCAACATGGCAATCAGAGAAATTTTTATCCATTTTAAATAAGAACTGTAATTTATTTGAAAGACTCTTCAGTCAAGTCCCACAGATATTAAAACTTTAATCCCATGGGAAAATAGCAGAGTTATTTGTGAACTTTGATATCTGCCCATTGGATTGCTTGGTTTTTCCCCATGTAAAATAAGAATTTAAAATATCCATTATGGAGGTTCTGAGAACCAAAAAAATAATTCTGTAGATTAATGCCAGTAAGCATCTAACTTTATAAGCTCTTGGTTACAGTCCTGTGCACACTCACTAGAAATCTCTCACTGATTTTGAGTGAACTTTACTCAGTATGGATAAGACTGTAACTGCTCCATTCTTGGCATCTTTGCTCCCCACTGCATTCGGTGGATCTTAGCTCCAGGAAAATTTTTGTAAGATGCAATTTCTGTTTAATATTAATCTCAGGGATGGTTCTGGCTTGGAGGAACATGTTGACAGGTTAACATTTGACTCCAAATCACCTGCTGAATGATAGATATATCAAAAGATCTGGAGGCATGTTATTCCAGGAGGAAAGTTCATGCTCCCTTTGGTTTAGATAGTGCTCCATTCCTTGTTAACGAGGCAATATACATTTTCTTATGGGAAAAAAAATGCCAAGTATAACTAGCTTTTCATTTAGCAGGTTATTTGCATGTTAAAAAAAAAAGTTTTTGTAAAAACTAATTTGCTTCAAAATATCAGTACATGACAATTAAATATGGTATGACATTTAGAGCATGAGCGTGCAAAAACACGTTCATAAAACTGTAAAAAGAAAAAGACATTTTGAAAACCGTTCTAACATGTTTTTGAGAAGCTTTCTTAAATATTTACATGAGAAAGTCTCATTTCAAGTGTTCTTTCTAAGCTATCCCCAAAAGAAAAGATCAATAGGAAAACATATATTTTTATCCCGAAACATTTCAACGTTGTCTCTAATATTTATATGCATTTAGATGAATTTGTATATGATACCCAGTTAAGAAAACTCAGCACTTTTTAACAATGGAGTTATTAATTTACTAAACGTATTTCTATTTTCAGCATTGTAAAACAATTTAATCTAGGCTTTTAAAAAAAACAAAATACTTAATCTTACATCAAGAAAAATTTTCTTTCCTTGATCTCCAATATCAGCCCCCTCACAAAATTCCTAAATAGAACAGAATCATTATAATGGTGTGTGGGAATGACTTTGGGAGACAGGAGGAAGAGCAGCAGACTAGACAGTGATCAGATAAGAGGCAGCTGAGCCCACAGAAGGAATGGGGGTGTGGTAAACGTCTCAGAAGGGACCCCTCCCTATTTTCTTAGACTGTAAAAGTGAGGGGGGAGAGAGGTACTTTCAGACTTGCAAGATTCTGTTAATGTAACCTTACAATAAAGTTTGAGCTAGTCCTTCTGGGTGTGCTTCTTGTTTGGACTACCTCACAAGGTTGACAATCATAGATTTGGAAGGAACTCCAGAGGTAATCTATTCCAACCCTTGACTCAGGGCAAAATAAGTTACTTTCTTCTGCTGGGCAAAACAGTTCACTCCTGATTTTCACTTAGATGACAAGCTAAGAGGTCCTAAGTGAAAAACGTAGTGTGAACCAAGTGCATCTGTTAATATCTGAACATTTTTACTTGACGAGAGTGAATCACTATCATATTTTCCATATTCTCTTTCTTTCTTTTACATTTATACTCCATCTTTCTACATACACATTAGTGAAATTTATGCAGTATTTGGTTCCTTGATCATGCCCAGCTGTCTTAACACCGGTGTGCTTTAGCTGTGTGACACCAGTAAATAGACAATGATTCGCTTAGTGCAGGATGCTCTGAATCATGGTTTTGCTTCATTTGGCTTCATATCTTTCTCTGTTTGCTTTTAGAGTCAGAACCACAACGAAGCTGCAGACACCAGCCGAGGAAAGGGCATCGACTGTGCTGCTCTGACCTGTATGGTTCAGCTGGCCCAAATCGTTGTTGGGGTGGGCCTGGGTCTCCTGGTCAGCGCTGCTGGCAGTGTGGTGGTGGTGGTGGTCTCTGCCTTGGCTGTTGCCCTGCTGGGCTCTTGCTTTGTAGCCTTGTTTGTTCGGTACATTGATGAAAGCAATAAATAGTTGATTTATGGGAGTGGTTGCTCCTTTTCTTACCAAAAAAAGGAACATTGGTGTGCTTCGCCTGTCTTAATGAAGTATAGCATTCTATTGATTTTTTTTCTTGTGACAATTCTTTTTCTTCCATTGTGTCTGTGTTGTAAAAAAATGAGAACAACCACCACCAAAAAAATCTTAGGGCACATCAGGATTATGACCTGAAATGTTTTATCCCTGCTCAGTGAATCATGCCTGTTACATCTCTGAATCAAGTACTAGCAATTTCTAAGTCATTGATGTGCTAATTGCCTTTCTTTAGTTCCTCCTTTCTATAAATCCCAGAAATCATGGGCTTTAACTTTAAAAAATTCAAGAGTTCATACACAAGTTAAGCTCTTTTATACAGGAAAGGACACGAGGACGTGTGTTGGCCCTTTGAGGTAGTCCAGACAAGAAGCACCAACCATGAGTATTAATACTACCTTTATTGTAAGCTTACAGTAACAGAATCTTGCAAGTCTGAAAATACACCTCTTCTCCCTTTACAGTTCACAAAAGTAGGGAGGGTCCCTTCTGAGATGTTTGCCACACTCCCATTGCTTCTGTGGGTTAAGCTGCCTCTTATCTGACCGTTGCCTAGTCTGCTGCTGCTGCTGCTTGCTCCTCCTGTCCCTCAAAGACATTCTCACAGACCATTACGTCCTGTAATCTTATCATTAGAGGGGTGGAGAAGACTTTGAAATTCACCAAAGTTCACCTGCTGCTCAATGCATAATCCACAGTGCAAAATTCAACTATGGCCATCTTGCCAAATGTCTGTTCCATGAAGGAATCTCAAAGTAGTTTGTTCTACAGTCAAATTGCTCATCACAAAACTTTAGCCAACTTCCCAAACTTGGTGGCATCCAAATATCCAACTCCCAGAAATCCAAGCCATCAATGGCCACTTTGAATTTTGGAAACGACACATGTAGATAGCTGAGATTTAAGAAGGAAGTACAAATGCTTAAGCACAATCTGATTCCCTGAACTCTCTACCCATTGGTTCCAATCCTGCCTTCTAGAGTGAAAGGAAAGAAGTCTATTCCATGTTCTTCATGACTTGCCTTCAGGTATTTAAAAACAGTTGCCATATTGTCCCTTCACTTCTATTCACAGCTCTTTCAACCATGACAGATAAGACTTTGGTCAGGATTTGTGTGTTAAACGGTCCTGGACTGATGCTTTTGTTTAACAATGTGAGAAACAGTTTCTTGAATCAATCCATGATGCACAAGTTCAACACTTTAGGAATCAGTAGACATTAAACCATTATTGAAATCTGGATAGTAGATTACTGATGGACTGTGATACCCAGATTATCAGCATGTGCTACACACACATTTATAAGAACTTATGGGCCACGAAGCTCCAAAAGAGGAAATTGTGTTTGGAAATTGGGTAATGTAATAAATTGTGACGATCATTTGTGTGTGTGCAGAAATTCATGTTCTGTATGTTGCTAATTCAGCACAGGGAAGCCATACTTTGAAGAAGGTAAACAGATGTGTTTTGCCTTGGCTGGAGTTCTTTTATAATTTCTACAGTAGTGCTGGAATTCCATTGAATTAGGTATTTCCAGACTTGATTTTACATCCATGAATGTGGGTTTAAAGGATTACTTCTGAGAAAGGCACAACAGAAAACCCTAACAGCATTATTACTGCATCTCTATATATTCTCTCTTCTGTTATTAACAGTTTTACCCTTCCCTCTTTATACAATTGAGTACTGTAATTTTAGCCATAGTAACACTTAGTTTTATAGATTTGTATATATCATGAGCTGGTATTCTACTCTGATCCTTTTGTCTGGTTTTGGTTTAATGGATCAGGGATCAGTATTTTTCCAGTCTTGTTATGCTATTCAGATCATGATATCCTTCTGGTCCATCTCTGTTTTAATAGAGAATTTTCAGTATCTTTACCAAACAACCATTTTTTTGTAGAGCTTTATTCTTAAATAGATAAAAGCTGATATAAATTTGTGGGGCAGATAAAAATTCATTTCTCAATAATGGTGAAATTTGGGATCAAACATCATTTTAACAATGTTGGTAGATCAGAATGAAATACTAGAAATATTTGTTAAGGGGTGGGGTTCCCATCCATGCTCTGAAAATATTTTACATTCAGATGCTTATGAAAATATGCAGCTGGCATTGATGTTTCCTGGTAAATGTTACAAATTGATCAATACGTGTCAATATCATTTTATTGGCAAAACTCAACATTGGTAAGTTTCTGAAACACAAGCTGACACAGAAAGAGTGATGAGACTCAAATCAAGGAAAGGCATCACCAGATTTTGCCTGCAAACTCCTCCGAATAGGGGTTATCTCTGGGAAGCATATGTAGTAATAATGGGGGATGCACTGAGCGTGTACAGAAAGCAACCCCTATTCATTATTGCATCATGACAGCCCCATTCATTCTTCATGGCAGAAGCAGGACCTCCTGACCAAGATGAATCCTGATACAATGGGAAGACTGATCACACCACAAACCAGAAGTGGGAGCATATTCCATATTTGAAAAGCGCAATACTTCCATATTTGCTGCCTCAACTCCCATTTACGAACCATGAACTGGTGTTGAAAATCATGCATTTATTTCAGGATTTTCTCTCTTTCAAAATGGCCTTGACTAAGAATCGAGCCAAGAATATACTGTCTTCCCTTCTGACATTAAGAATCTGAAATGTAAACATAATGGGTAAAAAAAGAGAAAAAATCAGAATCACCCTGAAAGCAACCCAGTGTAGCAGAGATTCTCCCTATATGCCCTGTGTTTTCTCCTTCGGCTTTTGAAAAATGCTGGCCAACATGAAAAACAGGGTTCCTTTATCTTACGTAAACTGCATTCAGCAGAGCTGACACAGAGCTAGACTCTGTGTAATAGCATGTGAGAATGACCCCAGGAGACAGGAGGGAGAGCTGCAGACCAGACAACCATTGTGCGAAAGGTATCTCAGTCCACAGAAGGAGCGTGGGC